CATTATAGCAGTAATTTCATAATATTTCATACCTAATTCATATTTAAATTTCTCTGGTGATGTTAAAAATGTCCTTTTAGGGTTGGTTTGTTTGAGTCAGGATCCAAACAAAGTCTATATGTTACAATTGATTATGTCTCTTAAGTCTCTTTTATTCTGTAACAATCCTGTCTTCCTTCCCTTTTTAAATATCTTTTGTTTCTAGAGAAATCAGGTCATTTATGGTACAGAATGTCCACTTTCTATATTGAAGTGGTTGCTTCCATTCTGTATTTTTTGAACTAGTTCCTCTATCCTCTGTATTTCATATGAAAAGAATTAGACCCAGAAGCTGTATTATATTTGGATTTAGCTTGGGGGGGGGAAATACTTTATAGGAAGTACTGTGTATTTCCTAATGACTCATAAAAAGAGGTACATAATAGCTGTCTGTTCACTTTGTGATCTTAAGACTGGTGTGTTTAGGTAGTCTCAGTCTGATCCCTCTATTATAAAAATTCCCCATCAAATTTTCGCCTAATGGTTTCAGCCTCTGTTGGTTATTGCCCTGATCCATTATTTTACACAGGGGTTGTAAAATGGCAGTTTTCTNCTCTGTTGGTTATTGCCCTGATCCATTATTTTACACAGGGGTTGTAAAATGGCAGTTTTCTAATTCTATCATTGCTTCTGCCTTTTAGCTGATAATAAAGAAGAATTTTATTTCATCTACTTTTTTATTTCTCTTATACACAGTGTTTTGGGGAAAGGCAGGATAAACTCTTATTGTTATAAGTTGGTGCCCTGATAACCTCCAATGATGACCAATGATATTTGTTTGTTTTAGGATCAATAAGAATGTATTAATTTTTACATATCTGATGAATTTTTATCAATATATGATTTATCCATCCATTTTGATTTTTCTCCTTATCTAGCTTGAATATGATTGTTTATTTATGTTGGTTAATTATTAAATTGTGAACTTCTTAAAGTCAAGGTTTATGTCTTATTCTTTATTGTTCATATCAGAATGGTTTACATTAAGTAGATAGGCAATAAATATTTGTAGTACAGAATTGAATAGACTCAAGTCTGTGTAGAATATTTAGGCTGGAGGAAGC